ATGTATTAGAAAAAAACCCATAAAGTATGCGTAAATGATTTTTGATACAGTTATAAAGTTTTTACAATGCCGGTATATGATGTTTAGAGGTTAAACAATTATGTGTATGTGTAACATTTAGCATATCTAATGTTATATAAGTCTATAAAACTAATTTAGCATATCTAAGGTTATATAAGTCTATAAAACTAATTGTGTATGTATACTTTTGCATGGGCCACAGACCTCAGAGCAACTTTTTTTTCTTGCAGAATTTTCTGTTATTATGCATGTTTTTTTTATAATTATGTAAAACGGCTTTAATTTATTTTCAATAACGCTAAAAATGTCTAAATAGAAATTGAGTCTGAAATTTAACAACGTTTATGTCAGTTATCAGTGTAACATTTACCTAACCACGCCGTTTTAGCTAGAATGAATTAAAAGGGATGAGACAAATCTCAATCTAAACTTTTGAAGAAATTAAGTACCAAAAGATCTACATTAGTGGGCTAAAATGTTGTAAATTCTGAGCATTGGCTTTATAAATGATAATACAATTGGTACCTGTATCTTATCTGAAGTGATTGTTCACCTAATATTTTAAGTACCACAGACTGAATGTCGAGGCATCTCCGCGTCCTAAAATGATTGCAATGTTTGTCATCAGTGCATATGATGTGAAATTCATATCATTTATATATAATACATTATCCATAATCAATTCATTCTCTAATGCATACGCATAGGTCTTTGTCTGTATTATTTGTTGTCATATATAAATATATTTAACCCCTCGGTGAAATTGTCAGAGAATGTTTCGCGTTATCAAGGTCTTTAATTGTGTACATATATTTTCCCGGCATTGTCAAAACGATTAAAAAATTTATGTATCTTTAGAGATAATCTTATGCGTAATGTATTTCGGAAATAAACATTTAGATTTGACAGTATATTTCATATAAACATATTTTGATTTTGTAATGTTTGTTTACACTTCCGCCAATTGTTTTCTTGTTAGGGCACAAGCATTGTTTTAATTGGGGATCATACGCCCCATTCCATGATAACCTCGTATGAACACATCTACGGATGTTTCTATATTCAAAATTTTACAATTTTATGTTAATGTTGAATACAGATGTTCGTTTTTCATTTTCTGTGCTAAATTTATGACAATTGCTACATTCTAGCACATTTTATGCTATTTCCTTACTAAAGCTACTGTGCAAATGCTGCTTTATATTATGACAATTACGTCATTAGCAAACAAATGTGACTTCAGATGTGACGTCGACATACCAAGTGAAGTCATTAAAATATCATCATATACATTAATATTAAAAGAATGGAATTTCTGATATGTTCATGTAACATAATGGTGGCTGATTTGATACACAAAGTGCCAAACGGCGCATTATCGCCTTATCAATTTGTCGTCCTTTCCTTAGCAAAACACGCCAAATGGCGCGTTTTCTCGCCGCGTGTGGCGCGATGACACATCGTCGCTTTTTAAATGGAAGAATTGGCTAATTGGTGCTATGATGCTCGCGACAGCGAGCTATGTAACAGCACGATAAGAAGCCAACTCTTCGCAGTTTTGCGCGTTAGGTAGCGATCATACGACAAGGCGAAAATGCGATAACAATATATGTTGTGTTGTCGCTAGTGACAACGCAACTCACAAAAGTGTAACAAGTCAGCCACCATATAATATTGATTACATTGATACATAATTCGTCATTTGTAATATGATATTCACGTCTACCGGAAGTTCATGATATATAAATTGCACAGCAGTGCATTACTCTACGAGAACGTACTCAAAATTCCTAACAAAAGCAATGTAATATTTTCTGCTGTAAATACATTGTAGCAATGTCAAAGCTTATACTTAGAATTATTTGCGTCGTCTTGCTTACCAACAGGAGCATAAGTTATATTGAAATTTTGAATTTGAAGACTTGCATAGATCTATTCGTTATCCCATATATGCCGTTTAACAGCAAAATGTGTAGAAATATAAACGTGCCTTTTTAACTTTGATCAAAACAGCGATCAAATTATGATCATAATTTCAAGTCTTAGTTCAGTAAATCTGTTAGTTATTGCAAGGTCTCATATTGTTGTCAACACATACTGTATGGATAAAGTCTAAATCACTATCAACTAAAGTGAATTATTGGATATTTAATTTACAAAAATGAAGGTTGCATACTATTTACTGTTTTAAAATTTAAAATGTATTATCAGTACATCCTACACTTTAAACATTCATATCATTGCATAGCTGATCAAGTCGCTTTGTATTGAATATACATGTATTTAAATTCGGGTCGACTAATAAGTAATTAAGTCAATAGAATCTTTCAAATTATAGTATACATGTGAATATAAGTAAGTGTACCTGTGTGTAATACGTGTGCCTGTCTGTAGTACGTGTACCGGTGTGTAGTACGTGTGCATGTGTGTAGTACGTGTACCTCTGTGTAGCACGTGTACATGTGTGTTTTACGTGTACCTGTGTGTAGTACGTGTACCTGTGTGACATAAGTGTACCTGTGTGTAGTACGTGTATCTGTGTGCAGTACGTGTACCTGTGTGTAGTATGTGTACCTGTGTGTAGTACGTGTACCTGTGTGTAGTACGTGTACCTGTGTGTAGTACGTGTACATATGTGAAGTACATGTACCTGTGTGTAGTACGTGTACCTATGTGTAGTACGTGTATCTATGTGCAGTACGTGCACTTGTGTGTAGTACGTGTATCTGTGTGTAGTACGTGTCCCTGTGTGTTGTACGTTTACCTGTGTATAGTACGTGTACCTGTGTGTAGTACGTGTACATGTGTGCAGTACGTGCACTTGTGTGTAGTACGTGTTCTTGTGTGTGTAGTACGTGTATTTGTGTGTAGTACGTGTCCCTGTGTGCAGTACGTGTACCTGTTTGCAGTACGTGTACTTGTGTTCAGTACGTGAGTCTGTGTTCAGTACGTGAGCCTGTGTGTAGTACGTGTCCTGTGTGTAGTACGTGTCCCTGTGTGTAGTACGTGTATCAGTGTGTAGTACGTGTCCCTGGGTGTAGTACGTGTCCCTGGGTGTAGTACGTGTACTTGTGTGAAGTAAGTGTACCTGTGTGTAGTACTTGTACCTGTGTGTAGTACGTGTCCCTGTATGTAGTACGTGTACCTGTGTGTAGTACGTGTACTTGTGTGGAGTAAGTGTACCTGTGTGTGGTACGTGTACCTGTGTGTAGTACGTGTATCAGTGTGTAGTACGTGTACCTGTGTGTAGCACGTGTCCCTGTATGTAATACGCGTACCTGTGAGTAGTAGGTGTACATTTGTGTAGTACGTGTACCTGTGTGTAGTACGTGTAACTGTGTGTAGTACGTGTACCTGTGTGTAGCACGTGTCCCTGTATGTAATACGCGTACCTGTGAGTAGAAGGTGTACATTGGTGTAGTACGTGTACCTGGATGTAGTACGTGTACCTGTGTGTAGTACGTGTACCTGTGTGTAGTGCGTGTTCCTGTGTGTAATAAGTGTACCTGTGTGTAGTACGTGTACCTGTATGTAGTACGCGTACCTGTGAGTAGTAGGTGTACATTTGTGTAGTACGTGTCCCTGTGTGTAGTACGTGTACCTGTGTGTAGTACGTGTACTTGTGTGAAGTACGTGTACCTGTGTGAAGTACGTGTACATGTGTGTAGTAAGTGTACCTGTGTGTAGTACGTGTACCTGTATGTATTACGCGTACCTGTGAGTAGTAGGTGTACATTTGTGTAGTACGTGTACCTGTGTGTTGTACGTGTACCTGTGTGTAGTACGTGTGCTTTTGTGTAGTACGTGTGCCTGTATGTAGTACGTGCGCATGTGTGTAGTTAGAGCGCCTGTGTGTACAGGCATGTGTTTAAAGTGTCAAGGATTATATAGCATTCAACATTTCGTGTACGGTACATAACCTTTCTATTTCTTGACGAGTTTGAAATACGTTGCAAAATTGCCATGACAAATCAAAATTGAATGTATTAATCGTGTTTGATTAATGACCGCGTTATTTCTTCATTATAACTAAATCATCGCCAAATACATGTAGGTTTATTTTAGCTTATTATTTCCTTCTTTTGTTATGTAAGGCACTACATAAACGGTCATAGGTCGATGTTATTAAGCAATATCAATCCATTTAAGTTAAAAGTCATGATCAAATATGAAAAGGTTAAGATGGAAAAAAACTGAGTTTTTCACACAACACATCTATATCATACATGTATATACTCGGTTGGCTCGAACAATCAATCTCTCGAACAAATTTACGCAGGCCCTCCGAATTAAAGCGAACGAAGTTTGACTGTATATACGTATGTATATCAGATGCATCGTTTTATTTGCTGCAGGTTATAACAAGTAAGCTCACAGACTTATGGTTAGTAGGAAATCGTCCACAATTTTCTTTGATATTCATATTTTTGGACATTGTGTCTGTCCTTGTTCCTATCTTGTTATATTCGTCTTAGTAGTGCGGTAACGGCTAAGGATAATGTAGAATTAGTGTTAATATCACGTAGTCATATCTTGTAATTCTTATAGTTTAATTTCCAAATGCGCGCTTGGAGACTGAAAAATGTATTTTAATTATAAACATAGAATATTAGAATAAAAATTGCCTTTTTATCCAATATCATGACACAGAACGTTCAAGTATTCTTAACTAAATTTAACTGTACTATACTGGTTAATGCAGTTTAACAGTTTCCTTTCAACATCATCTAACGAAAATGCTGAGTTTGATCCTAAATAGATCAAAATGCCTTCAGTTATAAGCGGGTTATACTTAAATACATATTTACATTTACACCAGGAAGATTTATTAGTTCATTGATAAGATGAAGCGTTTATATAAAAAAAACATGTAAGATTTAGTCATTTTATAGAGATAGTAGTTGTTGGATATTGATTAAGTAAAGAAGAAAATTATGTGGAACAAGTTTGATAAAAGCCCACAATCTCTGTGATGTAAACCTGTTTTGAAAATTTGAAAATTGCTCTTAAGTTAAGAAAAGAATCGGATAGACAGGAGAAGTATTTATTTATTTTTATATCTAAACTTTTGAGTACAAATATTTTCTGTGAAGTTGATTGTATCATAACATTTGAACTATGCCTAACTTATTTTCAACAAATACAGTGTTTTGTACACCGAAAAACAAAGTGATTGTAAAATAATTGGCTTGGCATAAAAACAGTTGTTTCATATTCTTTACTACATAATTGGTAATAAATAATTGGAGAAATATTTTTTTAAGTTTGTTTTTGAACACATGGCATATTATATTTAATATAACCGTTACACATGTTTTCATATGACATACATTATAATGTGTAACCATTAAAATGCCAGCGTTTGCAACATATTGTTCAGTACAAATCATCATTGGATCCAATGTGATAAAAGTCCCGTTCAGCTTTAAAGTTCAATTTTTTTTTTTTTTAGTTTTCGGAGTCCAAAATGTCTACTTCAAATCTGTTTTGTGCTTCATCTAACTTTTTTTAATCATGAGAGTACTGAAAATCTATTTCAAATCAATAGTGTACACTAAAAATGTACTTCAGATACAATGAACTCTACAACGTATAATAACCTCGTATATACCACGTGATATGTAAGATTGTAGAACAATAGCGAGCGTAAAACGTGAAACATTCGGTTTCCGTTTATTTCATGGCGTTCAGTCATATGATGAAAGAGTTGCATATGATTTGTCATTATCATATAAAGTTTTAACAAATAAGATCAAGATTTACAGCTAGTCTGTAAGAATTATACATCTGTATACAAGAATCTTACATTCCAACAAAGGGAGAGCACAAAATTTTGATACAAATATTTCTCCTTATTTTATTAGTATATGAGTCATTACTAATGATAGTGAATCTTATGAAATATTTTTGCAGACAATCAATTACGACACAATGACGACTTTGTTCTGTATTGTGCTGCTTCTGTTACAAGCTACAACCAGGAAATGCTTTGCAGGTAAAATGTGGTCTGTTTGTTACTGCTTATGTCTTACGCCTTTTCCTCATTTTAATGACAAACTAGAATAAATCTGAATTGATAGAAAACCGCCACAAACAGCCTTTATCAAGGGGTTGATCAGTTACACGGAAGATGAAGTTCTTCTGATAACTGTCACAGAGTTCCTGATATCGTCGGAAATCTTTTGTATTTTTGTATACATTGAAAAAAACACTCGTCAAAAAGAATGATTTTTCATCTTTAAAAACAGAGTTAGAGGTCCTAAATTCAGCTTGGCTTACATATTGTTTTATGTGCCCGAAAAAATAAAAACACCTGACAGCCCATTTGCATCTCCTCTTGTTTAAAATCTTGCAGATTGCCAAATTATTCGCTCATTCATACATATTGATCTGTTCATTTGTGACCTTCTTCCTTGAATAAGAAAGGCTGTTGATCGATCTCATTTTGAAAATGTATAATTTAAAGCGCATTGGTGACAATTAACATGTAAACATACCTTTCATAAACGGACTCCTTCGAAACAAAATTGTACTAAGCTTGATGTTATTAGTTAATACGATTTCTATTCTAAGACTATTCTTATAAAATCGAATGCAGGATAGTTGAATCTAAGTAAAATTATGTAGATAAACAAATATCGATATGTATTGCTAAATCTATAGCAATGGGTAGTTGTATCTCTCAAGAAACTTCGTGCTTTGTCTGTAGACTTTATGAATTGTTTCACCAGTATTTCTTCTCCTTGAATTATATATTTGTTTGTCATAAAGATACAACAAAATCAAGCAAACAATCTCAAAAAGAAAAAAGCAACAACAACAGAAAAATAACAATAATTTGTTGGTTAAAGTAAGACATATATTTCCTTTTAGGCATATATAGATTAAAAGGAAATATGCGTTTTGTTTGCAAACTGTTGTCATGAACACTAAGTGTAAAAGAGGAAAGTTAGTTACTTGATAAAACTGCACAAGATATCAAAATATGATTTTGATTTTGTCAATATTCTTTTACAATCCGGCAAATTAGTCTTAATTGTATCGTTTCAGATTTCAATCTTATCGATCGTATCAGAGCAACCGTTACAACAAGCCAGTCTAGTATATTTGCTCCAATAAATAATCCACAGGATTTTAACTCTCGTAAAGCAATAGACGGATTGCAGAATTATTCTATAGATCATTGTAAATGTTGCAGTGTTACAAATGGAGCATCTCCTTCATGGTGGCAAATTGATCTTGGACAGAAATACCTGTTAGGTGGTTTACAAATATTTGGACGTGCAACAAGTAAGATAATATATTTGTCTAACTTTAAACGGTTTTGTTTTCGACTAATAGCAGATTGAATTCGTTACAAGTGTTTATAAAAGTCATAATTGTATTAGTTTTTTTTTTAATATTACAAAGTATAAACGTCATCAGAATTCCAAAAGGAAGAACGATAATTTGTTATATAAAGACTCAAGTGTATTCAAAATTTATCAGAAATCAGGGTAGGTAGTTAGGTAGGGTAGGTAGGTAGGCTAGGTGGGTAGGGTATGGTAGGGTAGGGTGGTTGGGTAGTGTAGGGTAGGGTAGGGTAGGGTAGGGTAGGGTAGGGTAGGTAGGTAGGATGGGATGGGATGGATGGATGGATGGATGGATGGATGGAAGGAAGGAAGATGTGTTACATACCGAAATCTTTTTGTGTCAGAGGATGAATCGCAATTGGAATATGCTGAAGTTTATGCTAGCAACGTGTCAATGAAGCCAGGAAAAGCTGCATATAAAATGAAGGTTTACGACGTTCCATCGATGAATGCTTCGACAAGGAATTTTACAAAACAATTAGACGCAATAATCGCGCAGTACTTCTTAGTAGAATTGAACCAGGAAGTGTTGACTCTGTGTGAATTCAAGCTTAACGAGAAAGGTATCATTTTAAAAATAATTATGTGTGTTACAATGTAATCTTTACAGTGTAGATAAAAACTTGACTAATTTATCATTGGTGATCGACATATAAATATTTGACAAAATGCTACTATAAAAAGGTCTTCGGTTTCAAGGACTTAATTGTTATTGTATCAATGAATGTACACGTGCTTAATGATGTAAGTTTTGTTATTACACAAATTAAACATCATATCAATATAAAATAATTGGTAACATAATTTTATAAAGGTAATTGAAATTAGTATATAGATTACAATTTATCTTTATTTGGGGGAAGAGGATTTTCCCTTGAAAACGCTAACATGTTTTTTTTCTAACTTATTTTGAATAATATTCAGAAACTCTAAAAGAAGTTATTTCATTTGACTGTTTTTATTTAGAGTGTAAAGTCGGTTACTTTGGATCGGGATGTTTGCATAGTTGTCACTGTTCAGATAATAACAGATGTGATCAAGTGACAGGGACATGTCGGACACCTGGTTGTCTTGCAGGATGGAAAGGCGAAGCATGTCCGGAAGGTAAGCCGTAACAGAAAGGTTAAAACACTTTCGTATTTGTTCGACTTTAATGTCAAAATAACATTCCATTATCTTGTGAAAAATCAATTTGTTGTATGCCCTATATTAAAATCACACCGTCTGTCTGTCTGTGCGTCCTCACACAACATTTTTGTCCGGACTGTACTGTGTCAAATGTCTACCATATCATGGTGATATGTCGCCTCTAAGACCCCTTCCCCTACCTCAAAGATCAAGGTCACACCTTCAGTTTGAATGTTCACATTCTCATAATTATTGTTTAAGGTAGACCATAGGTAATGCATTACCTTCACTCTGTCGAGTGCTATGAAACTATGCAAAATGCTTCAATACTGATGAAACTTGGCACAAATGTTAACTGGACCATAGCTTCTGTAACAACATGCTCCATCGTAAATTTCCTATTACCATGGAAACGCGGGGACGTCTCAAAATTGCCAAAAATCACTATTTCGCATTTTAACTTCTCAATGAATTGAGATAGAGTAAAGGCTTTTCAGCGTCGGTTATTAGTTACCCTAAGATCGACCTGAAGCCATTCTTAGCCTGTCACATGTCAAAATTTTCTTGGCGATGAGGCGGACCACCCTCTTCAAACACCCCAAACAGAAGGGAGCACATCCCCCTCCTAGCAACCCCCTGATAGGGGCGGCGCCGAAAAAGTGGTCACTTTTTTAACAACATTTCTCTAACGAAAAACAGTGTTTAGGGCCTAAATAGGGCATTTTGTCACTGTTTGAGACCTCAAAAAAAAGGGCAAAATGCCGTCAAAAACGTCTATATGAGTGAAAAGGATAAGCAAATAGTTACTTTTTCTCTTTCAATTTCATAATAACTTTCTGAAATACTTACAAAACCTTTTCAGGGAGATTCCTGACTTTTGCGTGACAGCTCTTGTTGTAATTATTATAACTGTTGATTACTTTATCGTAATAAATCTATTTTAAAACTATGAGTGAGGATAAAAAAGGGATTGAAGCACCACACTGAAATACCGTTTTCCGGTACATACCGGACAAGACGTTTGAATGATTAAATGCTTAAATTATTGCCTTTGCACCTTATGGTATGAATTTTAAAACATCTAATTCATCTTTTCACACCGATTTATATACGATAATGAATGAAAAATGTTATAATCAGCGAAAAAAATATTTATGTTCTCTGCAAGCGTCCAGAGCTACTGCTCCAGACCTGTATTGAGTAAAATCCAAAAACTATAGATCACTTTACCGTGATAATCGTTTTACAAACATTATCATGGTTATCCCTACGTGTGTATTTCTTGAGTATGTAAAAATTGCCCTGCTTTTATAATTGCTTTAATTGAACTCTAATGTTATTTAAAATTTAGTAGCGGAAGTAATGGTCTTGCATTTTCTTTTTGGACAAAAGGCATCTTACATTATGTTACATGATAAAAGTATATGTTTCACATTACTTATAATTAAATTTTTTTCTACAAGAGCATAAACATGATTCTAGTATAGGTAAAATTATATTACCATAGATTTATGCTAACACTAATGTCATTGTATTGTATTGAGATGGTGAAATTATATTATATGTCAAGTCAGTGGCTTATTTTCTAAACCGGATTGTTATTCTTTACATGTGGATTTGGAAATTTACATTTCTTCTTTTTTGTACTTATACTTATATTTAAAACCTTCAATGTATTGGTTTTAAAATCAGTCAATCCTATTTTTATCTAAACGTTCTATTAAACTTTTGTTTGCAGCATTAGAAATAGCATTTATTATATGTCGTTCTAAACATATATCATGGTGTTATTAATCAGTTGACTTCATACTGGCCTTGGTTTTGACTGAAGACAACTGAAAACAGCCCTGTTGGCCTCACGCACGGCAAACCTACGATCCACTCCAAAATTCTGGTTTTCTAACAATCGAGCGAACGGCATTTCCGATATAGTATTGAAAGTCGGTTTAATAGGCTTATTGTTAGTATTGTTTATGCTGTTGTCTTCTTATTCTTTTTTTTTCTTTCAAATAACCGATCAATGTAGGTCCGTGTAGGATTGTTAAGGTTTTCCAATGATCTAAGTTGTTGCGAAAATGAAAATTTGATTAAACTCGGGAGAAACCTTTCACCTGACAAAATGAGTAATTTTTTTGAATATTGAACAACGCACCGCACTGAAGATTTTTTTGAAATGGTATTAGAAAATCATCTACCCCTAACAATAGCTTGTATGTCGTGCAAAATAAGTTACTCCGGGTGAATTCCTTAAATTTGTATATCACTATTTCTCGAAAGTAGTGGAGCGAAAGGCAAGATATGATGGAGTGTTAAGCGCAAGGCAATATTTAATTTAGTGTGTCTACGAATTTCCATAAATTAAAGTTTTACAAGTTTAAATAGACATACTTAAAAGTGAAGACTGAGAAATTATAATTTATTTCTACTTAAACTAGATCTATTAATTATTGATAATTTTAGTAAGGAGCCTTTTTGTTCATATATAAAATGCTCTATGTTTAAATGTACAAAATTTTGCACATAAAAATAATTAATTAAAAAATAAAGAGGGAATATATTGACAATATGCAGAGTTTGGTAATAAAATGTAAACACTTCTATATACACTTTGAGACGGCAATAATCAACTAAACAACAATGCTAAATAAGACAAGAAGTGTCTTTAATCATTAAATCATTACCAAAATACGTGTTATATCACACTTTTTGCAACTATTTCATGCACATTTCCTACCTTAAACTAGATTATAGATTGATACGAAACAAAGGGTTTTCAATTCATAAAAGCGCTTGGTGTTTTATCTTATCGTTTATGATAACAAGAAGTTACGTGAAACATAGCTAGTTGTGGTAAAAGCTTGTTAAAAGGGAAGAAGCGATGCATTACATGTGTCCCGTGCATTACATAGTGTTGTCTCTTCTCTGTCTTGAACTTAAAAAAAACCATAATATTTTGGCCGATTTCTACAAAAAGAATTCCAATGGCAAAATATTTACGAAAACGTTTTGTATATTGCAAAAATAATAGTTTACAAAACTTTCAATAATGTTTTACACAGGAATATTGCAACAAACAAATTTCTCCTTCAATGTAAATTAACCGAATCTAGTATTTGTGTTTTTGCTGTATGGGTGTTGAAAGCATTCACCACCTATTTTGGTACTGCCAAACGGTACAAATATTCAGGAATAATCTATTCAAATGGCTAAATGAAATAGCAATAAACGTATGACAATTGTACACCATTCTTTCATGCTAAGGATAAGAAAACATCATATATTTTTCTATTCTAAAAATATTATATTTATACCAGTAAATTAAAAAACAAACTCCAGACATTCAAAAGAAAATTTTTAAACAGATCAAAAATGGAAAGATTTGTTGCATTACAAAATAATACATTAGAAGACTTTGTTTGATATGTAAATAGGTACATGCAGAGAGAAATGCTACCAAAGCAGTTTATTTACTTTTTTCATTATTTTGCGCCTTTTCTTGTGTAATTGTTTAAATGAATGAACCTCTTAACTTTTTTAAAATATCTTATATATTCTGATATAATACCTAACAAAAACATCATAACAAATAAAATTTATTTAAATTAAAAAAAAACTCAGAAACATTTGTTCGCGGTACGGATACGTTATTTATAAATATACATAGTCGTGTCAAAAAACGCCATTGACTTTGTATAGGTGACATTCTATAAAGGTATGTAAATTATTCAATTTTAGGTCCACACGCAAATTTGGAACCTAAACCTTTTATGGAATCTACGGCAGCATTAGGTGGCACATTCCCGATTACGTTTTATTACATGAACATTTAAACAGTTTTGTTGTAAATCCAATTAAATCGTGTTCATAAGTTATAATTTTAAAAGAAAAACCCCACGGTAACACTCAAGTTTGTCATGCAAATGAAGACTAGTATAATTAGCTGTTGTACTCGTATGCGCTACGTCACAGATGTATAAATAATTGTTACCATGTGGATCACAGCAGATTTAAGATATTCTTGTGCAAAAAAACTTGGAATGAAACAAAAACAAAGATTAAACTGAAATGTAATCACATTGAATGTAGTTATTGTTAAAAAGATCTTATTTTTAAGATCATAAATGATTGAATAAAATAAAAAAGAAGGTAGAAAAGATTCAATTGGAAAATTATTTTGTCTCCACATTTGAGTATTTTACCTTCTTAAGCTCTTATAAATAGAAAATTTGTGTCGCTCCACTAATTTCGAAAAATAGCAATATATACAAATTTAAGGATTCCACTATGATAGGACAGGTTATTGCTAAAGTTGGATTTTTTAATACACTTTTTCAAGAAATCGGACAGGTAGAGCATGTTTATGCTTTGGAAGTACAACATTCAGCAAATCGTTGTTCACTTCGTCAGGGCAAAAAAGATCCCAGGTTTAATTACATTTTCTTTTCGCAACAGCTTAGACCATGGCATAGAAGCCTTCGATAATCCTACACGAAATAACATTGAAAATAAATAACTTATATGAATAAGAAGACAAAAAACGTAATAAATACTTAGCCATTTGAATCGGCCATCCGCTCTATCTCGATCAGTGTTCAGTACACCACTTTTTGGAAGTGGAACGTAAGTTTTTTGGGGATGGCCTGAGATCGTTTTAATCAGCTTTTTAATATACTGCAGAAGTAAAATATCGCATGAAATATAGCATTTCTAACAGCTCTGCTCCATTCATATTCTGCAAGCGTAAATAATAATGTTTTAGATATTGTTAAAGAGAATGGTTTTTAACTGTGGTACATGTATCTGATAACTTAATTTAGGCATAAAATAACTGCTTAAGACCTAATGTTCAGCTTGAGATCTAATGTTCTGCTAAAGATATAATGTTCTGTAATGACAGACATGTTGAATGATTAAAGCATTACTTGTAATCTTAATTTTAATGTCCTTGACCGTAAAAGTGAAACAAAGGAATTTTGTTTATATTGCTATAACTTTGTTATTTATTAACAAGTTTGATTAATACTTAGACATAAACACTTATGACAAAACCGACATTTGTATAAAACAAATATAAACTTGACCTTTAATTACCTAGATGTCAAGGTCAAAATATTGAATTTTGCTTAATTTGACATGGCTTTGTAATTTGTTTATAGGTTACTAGACAACGCGTGTAACAAAACAGAAAAGTTTAATAATTAATATATAACGTTGACTTTTGAAATACCTTCCCTGTCAAAGTCAAAATATTGCAAGCAAAACAAAAAATGTTTGCCTTTTGAACCACCGAAATCAAAGCTGTATATTATTCTGCATATCTACGATGTTCAGAATCAATCAATCAATCAATCAATAAATCAATCAATTTACTCGAAGTGCTGTTGCGAGTTGTGATGTCAAAGAAAGCTTAATGTATAAGTATACTCTATTAACTTTGAGGTTTTATTATAGGATGTTACTTTATTACAGAATGTTATCATCGAAAATTCGATATAGGGTGTAACAAAATGTGTCATTGTAAAGACAACACAAGTTGTGATCATATAAGCGGACATTGTGATACAGGATTGTGTGATCCGGGCTGGTTATTACCTTCATGTAGCCAAGGTTAAATGATTCATTCAAATAGCTGATTTTACATATATTCCAATAGCGTGTGTCCTACAACTTGAATAAAAGGGCCCAGTATCAACACATATTTTACTAAATTTTTCGCTAACCTTACAACAGTATGATTCAATAACAGCATTCTTAATAAGACAAAACATTGATTCAGTTTTAAAGGGTTCTTGTTGTATGCAACTTAAGTGCTACCTGCTTAAAAATTGTTATACCAGTATGCACCTGCATACAAAATGAATTATCACAAGTTTGAACATTGCTTATTCATTTATTTATCACTTCACTTTGCTTTAAGCATGTGGCCATCGAAGGTTCGGACAGGATTGTACTTCGGTTTGTCATTGTTTATATAATACAAGTTGTAATACAATATCTGGAGAATGTCACAATGGTATATGTGATCCTGGATGGCAGACTCCTAGTTGTGATAAAGGTAAGGTACAAAACTCAAAATAGCTCGTATATCGTCTTGTTTAATGCAATATAGTGTTGTTAATGCATGCATGTTAAGTACACTACAGGATGAGTAAACAATTAAACTTATTTATTCATTATAAATTTTGTAATAAATATAAAGTTGTAATAAAATATCCGGAGAATGTTACAAGGGTATATGTGATCGTGGATGGCAGACGCCAAGTTGTGATAAAGGTAAGAGGAAGAAACTCAAAAGCTCCCAGATCTTTTTTATTACTGCAATATCTTGCTAAAAATGTAAATGTTGTTCTGTTGTTTCTCCCTTACATTTTTCTTCTTTGGTTTGATAGTGATAAAAAACGTAAATGATAATAATAACTGGTTATATAAAATCTTTAGGCATTCAATGTCAATAAAACTTATGGGAATATTAACATTTAGACTATACGCATAAAACTTTCTGCATATTCGAACTAAAATGAATCGTGCATTTACCTACGACCACTCAAAAACGTTTGCGTCTTTAGTTCCGCTGTTTTACAAAAAGAAACTGTACTATTTTGTCCAAATATGACATATTTAAGAAATAATATATCCCAAACAGTGATTTTATCGCTCAATAACATCACTGTTTGGAGTTTGGATGCGAGGAATTATATCACGAGGGCGTAGCCCGAGTGATATAATGATGCGCATCCGAACGACAAACAGTGATGTTATCAAGCGATAAAATCACTAATTTGGATATATTATTTCGATTCTAACACGACATCAACAAATAAATGTTGCCGTACTTGATAGCTAAGCAAAATTGCGCCTGATTTGTTTCCGTACTTATTTTCAGCGCGTCGGATTTTTAGTGGTTACGTCGCGTGTATAATGATTACGTCACATGTCTAAATATAGAACGTCAAAATGTGCATCTGTTGCATAATAACACACACTTTCTGTTCTTCTATGTTCAATAGGGAAAATGCGGGTCGTGTTAGAATAAGAAATAACACATCATTTTTATATACTTTCCACACACATACAGCGTGCAACAATAATTTTTCTTGATCTCAGGAAAATGTAATTGAAACAATTGTGGTTCTGGCACAAACTAACTGCATCTTGACAGTATACTTATATCAACGTTCATTTACGAATAAAGGAACAACAATCACGTTGATTATATTTTGATTTATATAAACATAATGGTTAATGTTTTATAGAAGATAAATTTGCTTTACTTTGCTGTATTGTGTTTTCAGCTGAAAAAATGTTTAATAGCCACGATTCTCTTATTGAATTTTTGTCTTGTGTTAACAAATATTTGAAATTCTGCTTGTTGTGCGATGCTTACTTTTTCAATTCTTTAGCATGTGATTTTCACACATTTGGTTTTAATTGTTCATCGACATGCCATTGCCTTAATAATACAAATTGCAACAGTACAACTGGGGAATGTGGTATCGGTATGTGTGACCCTGGTTGGCAAGGATCTAGCTGTGATCAAGGTAAGGTTATGTATACAATAAGTTGATCGGTCAGTATTTTTTAATTTGTTCTTTTCTAATTTATTTATTATTTTAAATTTCTTTAGAATATTCTTTTCCGTATTATTACTTTCTTTGGGGGGGGGGGGGGTCTAATGACATGATATTACGATAATAGATTTCTTTCAAATAGTTGACAAAAAGAAAAGAGTACTGCTGTTTTTAAATCTATGTGAAATGAATGAATATGGAGTTAATTTCTCGATCAGAGAACTTATGAGTGTTATAAATAGGGACGTCATCATTCTACAGCACGTTTCATTCTTATATTTTATCAAGCCGGTGTTAGGGTGTTTGAGTAATGCTGCACCTTTTCTACAGACTCAATCAATCTGAGCCTTAAATTTTCATGTACTTTTGTTGGATTTAGGCATCTGACTTTTTCCAGATTTGAAATACAAATTGTTGCTGTTTATTTTATGGTTGTCTCACGTTTTTAAAGAGGTACTAGCTAGAAAATTATCAAATTTGCGAAAAATATTTTCTGTAAACTGATGCTAAACAATATTATAATTGAACATAGCGATGCTTGTTTCCTCTCTAGTTTGTCAATTATTAAAAGAATACCTTGTATTAGTGCACCACAATTGTAATGTAAATAATCGTTTGTGCATAATAACAGATTTGCACTGTTTTCTTAACCCTGACAAAATGCCTGTATATTTACTCATATTTTTGACATTAATGTCGTATTCGTTTTATTTTTCCTTAGCCTGTGATCACAGGTCATTTGGCCTTAATTGTTCATCGACTTGCCACTGCCTGAATAATGCTGCTTGCAATGGTACAACTGGAAATTGTGTTCTCGTTTTATGTGACTCTGGTTGGCAAGGTCCTAGATGTGATCAAGGTATTTTTATTTCATAAAAGTTTAATGCAATTTGTTATGCAAAGGGCGGCATATTAAAATCCGTCTGTCTGTAAGGCCCAACCCTAGCATATATATGTATACCACATCAAGACCACGTATCGCGTCCAAGACCTACTTCCCAAGCCCATCCGAAGTCAACGTCACTCATTATAAGCACACATACATTTGTACTATTTTGCTTTGAGTTTTGATTACATGATTATAAATATATCTGATGTTGATACATATTATATATATGATATGATATATTGTTCACTGAAGTCCGCCAAAGGATAGCAAAATAAATACGAATTTCTATTAACTTCTGCGTATAGGTCTGTTTTATGTGCCTCGACTGATTCTTGTCAGAAATTTAAAGTTTTTATGTTTTTAGTCAGCGGAGTTCCTTCAACATTCTTTTATTCAATTTTATAGTATGCGATCATCGTTCATTCGGGTATAATTGTTCATCTACTTGCCACTGTCTTAACAATACAAATTGCAACAGTACAACTGGGACCTGTATTACTGGATTATGTGATCCTGGTTGGCAAGGACCAAGATGTGATCGAGGTATGGATAACTTGTGTGCATAAAACAGTCATTATTTTTATTACATTCTAAGTATACCTTTAATTTGTTCCTTGACATTGTTTTAATGATAATACTGTTGGAATGAATAAATTATTATTATTATTATTATTATTATTATTATTATTATTATTAGTTTTATTATTATTATTGCTATTGTTCATTGTTTGGTTATTTTCTCAATAATACAAATTGCAACAGTACAACAGGGACGTGTGATATCGGCTTTTATGATTTAGGGTTAGCAAGGACCTTGTGTAAATTTATTCATTAAACTAAGGTCATTCAATTCATCGTGCATGTTTTGTATTTCTTCTTTATAAAAGTCATAGACAATGAAATAGGTATAGTTCATAAACAGGTGGTAATCAATTGAATTTGGTGTTCCTGTCATTTATTTCCTTCCCGTTTCTACATTATTTTGTTATTTGCAGTATGTGATAATCGTTCATTTGGTATTAATTGTTCATCACTTTGCCATTGTTTCAATAATACAAATTGCAACAGTACAACAGGTGTATGCGATAATGGTCTATGTGATTCCGGTTGGCAGGGTCCTGCATGTGATCAAGATAACATTTTATATTTCCAATGATAATGTTAATTATTTAAGCATACTTTCAACGTCTTATCAGATAGTCTTCTTATTTCACAAAATAAATAGAAACAAAAGAAGCTAATCAAAAGATTTAATAAAACTCAACTCATTTTAGTCACTACATGAGTATTTTTGCAATACATGAACTTCATTGCTTTGGTTTTGTTTATATTTTATAAATCATATCCTAACCACAATAAAACGATCGCATTTGCACATATGTGTCAAACAATTGTTTAATGTGCTTTTTGTAATAAGGTAGCAATGAATTTTAATCTATAGTTTAGAATGTAACAATGGTACCTTTGGGTATATTTGTTCATCATCATGTCATTTTTTTAATGAGTCACACTGCAACAGTACAACAGGGAATGGAATGTGAAATCGAATTATGTGAGTCAGGTTGGCAAGGTCCTGCATGCGACCAAGGTACTACTTAACAATAATTTGTGATTTTGAAAATCTTTTCTAAAATATATTCTAAGGTACTTTGGTATAGAAATGAATTACTTCATCCATGATATATGTATCGTTTGACTTCATCTTTAAATTTCATTTGTTTACCTACTTACTATTATTGTTATGGTTCAGCTTATACGTAATATCCATAAGTTTTGATCAGATGGTGACTTTTAGCGTTTTTCTATATTAACTTGTGATGTTATCATGGAAAATTCGGTATTGGATGTTACAAAATGTGTCATTGTAAAGACGACACAATGTGCGACCATATAAGCGGACATTGTGATACAGGATTTGGTAACCCGGCTGAAATAATTCATTTTAATATCAGTTCGTCTTTTATTTTATATATCAGCTGGTATCTATTATTTCCTGATGAAATGTATCCTTAAACTGGAACAAAGGGTCAGAATATGAACATGTACATTAAACATTTTTCTCTTAAGTTATAACTGTGGGAATCAATAACATAATTCTAAGTCGGACAAAAGATTTATTTTATATATGTATATTTACATATCACACATATTACAGATCACTTTTTAACAAAGTAAGGCCCTCATTTGTAATGATTGTTAGGCCATAGGATATTAAAATTTTACACTTGCACATATATATATATATATATAGCAACATAAAATACATGTTGTATTTAAATTTGGATCTACGCAGGTAGATACAATGACATTAATCTATTGCTTGGTTTTGTTTAAATCTAACATCGAGTAATTACTGCAAAAACAAACAAAGATTCGTGAATACATGTAATGCATTTTTCTAAAAGAAGTATTGTTTATTTATTCCAGTATGTGATTATCGTGCCTTTGGATATAATTGTTCATCAACTTGCCATTGTCTTAACAATACAGATTGCAACAGTTCAACGGGGCGATGTTATATCGAATTATGTGACTTTGGTTGGCAAGGTCCTAGATGTGATGAAGGTAATTTTCATCCGGAATTTAACTACTAGAACTTTTTTGATGTATTTTTCTTCTTTTAAGGCTGGTGATTTGAAATCTTTGTGATTGATAACTGTAAAGTCAAATGTAGTTTGATTGCATTTATGGTTATTCAGAGTGAATAACAGTAATGTTATGACGCAATCAAAATGTTTTACAATCTTATTGTCATCTTATAATTACTAGTATATTATCACTACTGAAATTACTTATTTTATGTTTTTTATTGCATTTATTGACTAATATTAGTATAGACATCCTGATTTTATAAAGCATGTTTTCACTCAGAAAAGAATATATTGAGACGTTCAGATGTGCTGACAGATATGTCATCAACATTCCTTAACTGGACATCAAATCTAGCAATCGATGGAAGCATTGGTCCAAAACCTGACGTTTGCAATTGCTGTAGCGGCACAAAGAATTCCCTAATATCCTGGTGGACAGTAGATTTGGGAAAACGGTATCCTATTAATAGTGTTACTGTGTTCAGTAGAGAGTTTGGTAAGTTGAAACGTTTTATGTCAGATAAGCTTGAAAGAATTAAAACAATGAACATTATTGTAAACCATAAAAGTATCTTAAACAATTACAAATTTTACAATAATATGTTCTATTAATATATATTTATAATGAAGAATCGCCTGTGTGATAAAAAGATACTTATCTTGTTATAATCATTATAATTATTCTTTGATCTAGTTATTATTTGCAATTCCGTTATTTTGTTGCCTCTTAGATCAGTTATATCAGCAGCTCGCCGATTTTGAGCTATATCTTGCTAACGATACTGGGAAAAACTCGTTTCATCTGGTGGAAAATAGCACAAGAAGAATTGATGGAAATAAACACGTTCTTACATTTTCAAATAAATTGACAAGATTCATTAAGATTCAGAGACCAGGCGTCCTTACTCTGTGCGAAGTGATGGTGTCTGAAGGGGGTGAGCACTTTTCGTCTAAAATCGAATATATAAATATAAATCATAGTATTCTTATTACTATTTCAATTAAATACCATTAATTGAAGAAGTATAGCTATTACAATTTCTAGCTGTTTCTAATCAATTTATGTATAATATGAATAAAACATGTTCTATGTTTTGCTTTATAGAATGTCAGGTCGGAACATTTGGCGAAGAATGCTCCGAGATATGTCACTGTGCTGATGACCTTGCTTGTGATAAAACAAGTGGATATTGTCAGTCAGATGCATGTAAATCTGGTTGGATCGGTAAATCATGTAACCAAGGTAGGTTTACAAATGACTAGTGGAGTTAAAAAGTCTATGTTGCATGTTTTATTTAATGAACAGAACCAAAACTAAAAAAAAAAAACATTTTACTATTTCTTCTATTTTGTGGAATTTAAGTATATTACTTTTGAAATTCAGAAATAAGTAACATCCAAAGTTAGAAAAGTTTACCTTTAACCGATGTGTCCTTCTATGCATGTATGTATACATGTATTTAAAGCTTTGTTAAATCAATTGCATTACACACACATGTATGTATATATATACTCATTTCATTTACTTAATCAGAAAACAGTATTAATATATTTGTAACCTTTTCGTATATTAAGAATGTCCAAAAAACAGATTTGGTGACCGATGTAGTGAGACTTGTTTTTGTGCTGAAGGTACATGCACTAGTAACTATGGGGTATGTCAGAACGGTTGTCAACAAGGGTACACTGGCTTTCATTGCAATCAAGGTAATTTGATGTAATTTGCTGCTATCATTCATAGACATCAAAACTCTTAGACGATGGTTTGTGTTTAAAGGAAACCTTTGGAATAGATATATTAATTGATGAAATTGTTTGATAATGAGATATTGTACATTATTGTATACAGTTGGTGATTTCAACAATCATACCCGTCCAGCTAATGAAGAGAAGAATTCATCAGCTCTCATAGCAGTTGTTATCGGCGGATCAATTGCTGTTCTGATCATATGTGTATTAGTAGGTGTGGTGGTTGTGAAATTAAGACGAAAAAGCAGGTAAGTATTATTTAAACATATAAATATACACAAAACTACTGATTGTAAACACTTTTAATTCAATTACTTTAAATACTAAAGAAAACCATGAGCATAGTAAACAAAAAGAGTGTGTTGCATTCAAAGTATGTTTAGTTTTAACATATGTTTGGCAAATCTATTTGTAATAACATAGACTAGATAATGTTATTTTCAATGTTATTTTATATTATTACCCCTCACTTTTTATGCCTCTGAAGGGAGTCATATTAAAATCGCACAGTCCATCTGTCTATACGTCTGTCTGTCTGTCTGTCCAGACTGTAACTTTGTCATACATTGAGGGATTTTGAAATAGGTTGGCACAAATGTCTACCACATCGAGATGATGTGTTGAGTCTAAGAACCACTTCCCTATCTCAAAGGTCAAGATCACACTAACATTTTGAAGTTTCACTTTATCACAATAAGAGTTTATAGGTACACACATTTGTGTCCGAACTGTAATATTGTCATGCATCGAAGGATTTTAGAATAACTTGGCATACATTTCTACCAAAACGATGTGTCCCGTTTAAAAAGCACGTACCTACCTCAAAGGTCAAGGTCAAACTACCATTTTGAAGTTCATGTTATCACAATTAGAGTTTATAGATACACACATTGGTGTCCGAATTGTAACTTTGTCATGCATTGAAGAATTTTAAAATAACTAACAACCACATTAAGACGACATGTTGCGTTCAAGACCCCTGTCTCTACCTTCAATGTCAAAGTCACACTTATAGTTTGAAGGTACTGATTCTCTCGAGAAGAGTTTGAAGATAAACATTCATGTCAGGACTGTAACTTTGTCATGCATGGAAGGATTATAAAATAACTTGGAACAAATTTCTACCACATCAAGACGATGTTTCCTGGCTAAGGCTCATGTCCGTTTGTCTGTCCTCACTTACACAACACTTTGTCCTGCATTGAGGGATTTAAAAATAGATATGCACAAATGTCAAGTACATGACAATGTTGTGTCGCGTCCGAGAACCACATCCTTTTTCAAAGGTTAAGATCACACTTATATTCTGAATGTTCACACTACCACAATTAGAGATTATAGGTACACACAGTTGTGTTCGGACAATTACTATGTCATGCATCGAAGGATTTTAAAATAACTTGGCGTAAAAGTCTACCATATCAAGATGACGTTTTGTGTGTAACACCCATGTTCCAACCTCCAAGGTCAAGGCTACACTAATAGTTTGAAGGTACTTATGCTCTTAACAAGAGTTTGAAGGTACATATTAGTTTCCAAACTGTAACATTGCCATGCATTGGAGGATTTAAAAATAACTTGGCATAAATGTCTATATCAAGATGGTGTGTCGCATCCAAGACCCTTGTCCAGAGGTGTTAGGTTTGCTATAAATAGCACTTCATTTCACAACAACAATATTAAGCAATTAGTTACTTTCATTCTCTTTTCTTTTCATAATACCTGCATGCTTAAGAAACCTTTTCCGAGGCATCGGTCACTTGCGTGACAGCACTTGTTTCGTAATGTTAATTTCCCATAGGCTTCTGGGAGTTATTCTTACTGGTAATGCAAGTGTACCACGTGACTATACTGTTTTATAGGTAACAGTACTTTTTAACAGTATAAAATCTGGTCATGTGGTTTATTTTCTAAATAAAAATAAATTAAAATGGCCGCCATTTTTTTCTCGATTCATTTTTATTTCCGAAGTTCACCACGATATGGCATCTCCAGAGTAAATATGACACCCATAACATTTAGTCGTTTGCACCATGGAGATCATTTTGCGTATAAACTATCTTTTCGTTGAATTGTAATAAAAGTAAACATCCTCTTTCAACGGAAGTAAATACAATGTGAATAATTATGTGTCATACTGGAACATACAGACGATTAAAGCATGCAACAAAGGATTATTTCATATGAAACGTTACATATATGGTGGACAAACATAGGAAATCATCGTTGTTTTGTAAATGCACTTTGTCAAAAAACATGCAAAGAATATTCTGGATACAGAAGGATTATATTTCACAGCTCATAACCGTATAAATGGGATAGTGTTTTGTTTTCAAAATAAAACACAGCTCATATATGTTTATGACTGGTAGATATCTTTCTTAAATAATAAAAGGAAAACTTCGCAAGTAGGCCTACCGTACACTCAAAACTTAAAACGTAATAACAGTTTAGTTATTGGTACTCTTGGATAAATTTTGTTGTTGACAATATCAGATCATCAAAGTATTTGTTCGGGGTTTGTGACTAACAGTAAAAATATCATCCCTCGTAACTACTGTTATAACAGTATCTTCCTCGGAATGGTATTTTTTACTGTTACCCACAAACTACAAACGCATGTGTTATTCATATATTATTTCGTTTTTACAGCGAAGGTAATAAAAGTCACTACTCAACGCCAAACTCTCGAGCTAACCAAGATGATCAGGATTATGACACTTTAGATATACTTAATGGTAAAACTTTACTTATGTACATTATTTTCATATTGTAATAAATATATGAACTATAATACAAACATTCGGTAAAGAGCATTAATAAATACTTTGATCTCATTTTCCGGTCCACAGGTCAGGCATAGAACTCATAGATGTTCGTATTTAAGTATAAACATGTGTTAACGGACTAGTATATTATCGTAAATTGAGACATTTTGATATAAATGTTAACCATTAAGGTTTACCAGCATTACACATTTAGTCCAAGTCAATGTATGCAAAGACACTTATCACAAAGAAATGTTTGAATTTTGTCCGAAGAATATCTTCTTGCTGAATTGAGGGATTTTAGAATTACTTGATACAAATATTTACCATCATGAATAAATATGGTATCCATCGCATGAAACAGGTCAAATATCATGGTTACACACAGTAGATAAGGTTCACATCAGTCTATATCATGAGCATCATTCAGGACTGTTTATGATTGCGCGACCGGCATATATTGTGACAAAATTACTTTTGTTAAAAGATGATAAAAATCTTAAGGCGGAAAAGATTTGCGGAAGAATAATCTTGTACATCAGTGACAATATTTTTATTTTCAGATAACCAAGGCCGAAGGCACACTACGTATCAAAATGAAGTTGTGTCGAACATGTGATGTATTTGACTAGAAAAAGCCTGATAAAAAGTCGAGTGTATTGGAATCTTATTAAACGAATATGACAATTATTTTTCATTCATTCATTCATCAAATTATTTGATCAATGTTGAAGCTTTTATCACGCATGAACTGCAGTTCTTAATATTAAACTTTTTGTCAAGCATTTGTGTTTATGTTAAAAATTACATTCATTCTAAACGAATAATTTAACATGGTAAAATAAAAACATTTAAAGAAATGCACTTGAAAAATGGAATATGTTTGATATTTAACATTTAAACCTTTTATTTCTAGTAAATTTTGAGGAGATTTATGCTATTTCAGAATGGTATATTACAAATGATATGAAAACATGCTAAACATTCTTATCTAATCATAAAGTTTGTTCCTGGTATCATTATTGTTCTGTCATAAACTAGTTCAGAATGGTTCATAGCATTATATTGATTTGACTTACCTATACTTTAATAGACTCTGACTTATAAGGCGTTATCAATTATGATATTGTGAACCCGTTTCTTTGTAAAATAATAGATCGAAAAATCTTTATTCCTTGCATTGATTAATATATGTATAGTATGAAGGATAATTGTGCTTTTATTATATAACAATGCAAACTTACCTGTATCATAGTTTGGAGACGTTTCCATTGAATACGGGTTAGAATTTAATCATACACTACTAATACATGCACAATATGTCAAATGGAATGCAGGTATTAGTTACACAAACTCCAGTTACAACACTGTCTGTCTGAGATAAACATAGAGCCTGCTTGTTGATTGGCTCATTTTTGTTGTTGTTGATTTGGGGGATCAAAGTTACTTTTTTCTAGGGTTTCATATAGTGTCGACAGGGACGGTGATTTTATTTCTGTCTATGATACAAAAGAGAAACAACACCAAAACACTCGACAATCTGATTTATACTCGGGGAAGCGGCTACGCCTCCTTGCACATGTCACATTACCCTGTGTTTCGATGCTCCTATTACTTTATAGCTTTTCTACAGATCGGTTAAAGCGTGAAATCTACATAACGGCATCACCAAAACACTTATACTTCCCTTATATTTAGGACGGCAAATCATATGTTCCCAGTTGCAACTGGCCGTTGGTATATCACACCATACGATAAGGGAAGGTGTAAACGTCAAATTAACATAGGAGATTCATGTAATCATTTATCTTTTTAACGAAATCAAAAGCAGATGATTCTTATTTAATTTCATAGATATCCAATATTTAGTTGATTCATAGGGTATTTGATGAAACAATTTATACGGTAGTCTTACACGTGAAATAGCAGGCCACTCAATCTGCCTATGACATTCAATAGAAACATTGATGAGAGACATGTCATGTGCATTTTCCACTTTTTTTTCTGTTCAATAAACACATCTACTTTAAAAACAAAACCAACCGTTAAATGTTAAAGGCAACTTGTGTTTAAATGTCAAACAAGATTAAGAAGCGGCGATGACAGTATATCGTTTACGAAACGCTCCAGACGACCAAAGGTAGCATGGGCGAAATATTGTACAGTGCGTTACAAAAACCTTTGAAAAAGACAGACATCTCACCCACTGTATGGGAACCAGTGACATTTTTGTTTTAAAATAATACTTTAAAATATGAAATTCATAAAGTAAAAGCAACATAAAATGTATTAAGTATACACCAGACAGGTACCAAATTGAATAGCGGGTAAACATGAAGTTAATTTGACGCTGTTGTCGTTGTCAAAGTGCTCCATGACGATGTATATATGTTGTATGTAAATACTGTTAAAATACAAACGTAAGTCACAGTTCAGTAATTTTTGATAAATGTGTTTGCTAGATATGTATATTTTTGCTGACAAAATTTGTACAACGTTTGTATTGTTATACAATAAAAAATAAAGAAGTATATGAACTTTCCGGACATCCCTCGTAGTAAAAATCTTTCTCTGAATTATCAATTCTTTAAGAACAAATAAAACAAACATGTGTTTTCTGTTGTTGCTACATTTGTTTTTTTGTTTATATCAAAAGAAGTAATTGCAATTCTTTATATATGTGTTACCCACACTTTTATACATTTAGATATTGTTTTTAGTCTTATGTAATGTACCATATAAGTACATTAAATTCATTGATATTGCTTAAGTGCTTCAATTATTGACAGTCTCTAGTTATCGACAGTTTTATTATTTTTCATTATTTAAAAATTTCAAATTAACTTGTCAAACACATTTGAGGTAATCTTTTCCCTGAAACACTATCTACACGTTCCTTTTGCTATTTTGCAAAAGTCCACGGAGTTTGGTCAAGTCAAATTTGCATGATTTTTACAACCGTTGCATCAATTTGTTTACTAGACAGGACAGCTTACGTCACAGGGTAAATCAGTCAGTTACGTAATATCTTAAAGTTGTGATTTTCGCTTTATTTTTCCGAGAGTTATTCCACTTTGTTAGTCTAATATAAGATGTGTATGGGTTACAGACCACTAAATATGCATATTAACGGTATTGATACAGTTGTAGGGGGATGTCGATAACTACGTCAAGTAAACAGAAAGGTCTACAGTTATCGACACATTGCAATTTTTAAATAAAAATTTATGTTTTAAAAAAACAATTTTATTGAAGAGTATAAAAATAATGTAACTATATAGAATATTAATGTTTTATTTAATTATCCATTTACATACAATGTTCAACAGTAAACATTTAGTTCTACCTCAGAAAAATTTAAACTTTAAAGATGATAGGTTTCAATACAGTCATGAAAGAATATTACTCCTGTCCTAGACGTCATTTCAAAATCATAAGAGGGTCCAATACTTGCCACCCAAAATGAGGGGAAGTTGAAGTCAACTATGAGATGTAATGGGATGTCGAAGGTAAAGGCTGCCAGGCTATATGGGGTTCCAAGGACCACCCTTTAAGATAACCATTTGGGAAGAGTTCCTGAAATGCCATCAAGGCCCGGACTTCCGTCAGTTTAGACTCCTGCTGAGGAGAAAGCTCAAATAAACTATGCAAAACTGATGGCAAAAGTTTTACCTTGAATTTTATACTCTGTTGAAATCGGAAAACAAAAATTATATGCTGAAATTATCTATGAAGTGCACCTTTTAATGATGTTATGGTTCATGTATTTCAACTACAAATGTATGCAATTTTGATAACTTCTTAATAAAACGTTTCAAATCAAAACTTCCTATATATATTAATAGGTTCTTCATCTATTTTAAACACATTTGCCATGACTATGAATCTTTATTTTATATTTCAGGTTATTCACTATCCAAGAAAGAGATTTTGACTAAGTTCTTAAGTGATCAGTCCTTTTCCCCTTAATATCTCCTGAAGGCAAGTGGGTCCATCTGACTCTGAGCTTATAGTAGCAACTACATGTACTTCAACTGTCTCAGACAAGTCTTCTGCCTTTAATAAACTCATTATCCCTGAAATAAAGAAAAGAAAAGTCAATTCCATTAGAAATAAAATCCCAAAAGTGTTGTAAGGTTCTGTTGCTTTGAATTTGTTAATGTGAGAGAAAGTAAGAGAAGACCAGAAGAAGAGGAGTAAGAAAGACAGAAAGATAAAGCAAGAAAAGTGAGAGAGGAAGAGAAATAAAGAAAGAAAGATTTGTAAAAGATAATAAAGAAAGAAAATAAAATTGATAGAAAAGAAAAAAAGGTAGAGGCATATATATGCCAGCAATACCTCTTCTGAGGAAAATATACCATACATGGATTCCGATGATGATGATGATGATGATGGTGGTATTCAAATGCAATGGTTTGTTGAATTAACTATGTCAGTATGTTATCTTATACTTTACATCAAATTGTATGTTACCAGCCTTATACATGTACTTACATCACAGTCTTTAACTATCTCTGCTTACATCAATATATATGAATAAAAAATTGAAATTGGTTATTGACTTATCATTTTTCTTAAAATTTAGGGGTCTGCAACTTGGGTTCAAAGTTCAATCCAATTAAAAAAAAAATAAACTGCAAACACATGAAAATCACGATTTATTAATTTAAGTAAATACTTTTTGAAATATAAATGATTGTCATGATATTATAAAACATAATTATTATCAATATGTCCCATTAAAAAGGATTAGTGTCCTCAATTAAAAAGTACCTGTCGATAATTGCGTCCATGTGTCGATAACTACAGCCTTAGAATTAGTAGTTACTACCGAGTGTCACGCTGTGTAAAAATAATTGGAACCGGGAAATACCCTTCTAAACAACCAATCAACGATTGTTTTACATAGTAGAATTCAATCAAATGGAAATAAACAAATCGATAATTGTACGATGGCTTTTTTGGGTTAACCTGTCGATAACTGTAGCACTTGCTAATAAAAGTATTTTTTCCTTTCAACGATGTTACTTGGTTGATATTATGGCCATAGGAAAAAGATGAAATAATCACCGGCTGTTTTGCTTTCCTTTCACTTTTTTGTCTTCGTGGCGGTCAAATATGTGTCAATGATGTATAATTCAGTATATGTATATCAATATTTTCTTTCTTTGCAAAACATATCTGAACAATTCCACAGTTAGTGTAAAAGTCAGAAGATAAATACACGTCGTCATTTGAACTGACATAATTCGGGCATGGTGGCAATGTTTTCAGAGGGAAGTAAGAGTCAATACGTTAGTCATAAGGGATACGGGTTGCATATCTGTAGGGCTTGGACAGATGGTGGGAGATTAATTGCAACTAGATTACAGTATATCTTATCAAATCTGATAAACCTACTTTCTAGTCTGCAATGGTTTAGGAAACGCCTCCCCGGTTCTCTTACACGGCTATGACAGTCTCTGGGTCATATTTATCTTGTCAATATTGGTTCTTGTGTATGTAGGCAAGATACTTGCTGCATATTCAGCATGCGGTCGGTTGCTAGTTCTTCGATTTTCTCTGTTTTTATCATTTCATTTCTTTTGATAAAGCCAAGGGATCTGTTTGTATTGGGCGCTTACTCATGATATATATGTATTAAATTTAAGGTCTGGAGACAGTTCTACTCCGAGATATTTTGCATTAGAGACTGATTCTAGGACTTGGTTATGCAGGATATATTTAAGAAAATATATCGCTCTAAGCAGTGTTTATCGGCTATTTAATACCGGTTTGGGGTTTTGATAAATTTGAATTGACCGATATCATTTACATTTTTATAACACAGAATAAGGAAAGTCACTGTTTTTTTTTCAAGAGCAGATTACTTCTTCTGCCGATTTTCTTACAACGCAATCGACTTCTTTACATTTTATTGTATCAGCATGTTAATTACGTCTGTTTTATTGAACAATCCGTCCTCTAAAGGGACAAGTGTTCATTAGAAATGCAAGGTACATGGTGTCCATACATAGATAAAATATATTACTCTGCTCGGGACATAAATATCAAAACTACTTTAAAATATAAAAGATATGCTAGAAGTCTTAAAATGCACAAAACGCATAAGTGTTTCAATATCTTTTGAAGTGATGTTGTGTCAAATGTGCATATTATCAGTGAATTACCCTATATCAAGCAAACATGTGCAGTATTGTGTACATCTAGTCAACTTTGTCCTTAATGCGCCTTTTTTAAACATAAGTATCATTGCATGTTTGATAAGGACTTTTTATATTTTTATAATGAATGGGTTTTAAAAAGATTAAATCCGGGTCAACTGCATAGCACGCCGTCTAATGATAAATAAACCAAGAAGAAAAACAATGTGATACAAATTTATCATGAATGCGTACGTGTGAGAGCGTCCATTCAAATTAGCGTATATAAGTTGTGTGCAATAACAGGGACAATTGTAGTAGTATCCAATATAATAGAGAAAAACAGAACCCCTAAAGATAGCCCAACATTGCAAAATTGCAAATGTTGCAAGCAGGAACTATACTTCTCAACAAATAAGTTTGATCACAAAACGAGGAATATGTTACGAATTTTGTGAGGGAGGGGCAGGGGTTTGCTTATTATTCAGAACTGATTTTCATAAATATTTTATTTGATGACGATCTTGACGCACGCCAGATTATTTACAGTAACATAGATTTATAATCACACTAAGAGGTTAGTGATGAAACATGTGTAAGATAGCATCAATATCGTTGTGATTAAATGGGTTGTATGAGTCATTTATTATCCCCGTCGTGGGAAGTGGGATAATGTTTTGTAGTTTTCCGTCCTTCCATCCGTTCAACCTTCCGTCCATCCCTCCATTCGAGTCTCGTGTCCGTGCTTGTTCTCTGCAATTACTGGCTTGAATTCAACCAAATTTTATGGGACCCATAAACATAAAAAAAAGAAATGTTCCGTTCAGACCCTTTTAGTTATGCAATTATTATGCATATAGAGAAATGATCGTTTCCGCGCTACTTCTCTACAAATTCCGGCTGGAATTCAACGCAACTTTATGGGAACTTTCAATTCTAAGAGGAGATTCGCATATCTTCGCCTTGTTCCGGTCAGACCCTTTACTTGGGGTTATGGTCCTTCATTAATTATGCAGTATGCATATTAAGCAATAACCGTTTCTTTGCTACTTCTCTGCAACTACTAGGTGGAATTCAATGCAACTTTATGGGAAACATCAATACTAAGAGGAGATGCGCATATCATCGCATTGTTCCGGTCAGACTCTTTCAGAGTAAT